TGTACTTGAAAAAGCAAAATAAAATTCCAAGAATGTATATACTTATTTTTTATTTTCAACTTATTTTTTAAAAGTTAAAACAAGCAGAAAAGACTTCGTGGTGAGTTATAAAAAGAAAAAAAATAAGTTGGCGACAAGAGAATTTCACACAATTTCTACTGGAAGATTTTTTTTTCTACTTCGATCTGCTATGGCTTTATTTCTTTTATTTGTTGATTGTGGTATTGTGATTATTGACATTCTTACATAAAGTGGGACAGCCAAAACGAGCGCGTATGCATGCATGCAGCTTCACAAGAAAGACAAAGAGACAGAGAGCGCCGTGGTAATGAGAAAAATGCGACACAATGGTAATTTTATTGTTTTGTCTACGGTACCAACATATTAACGTAATGCGAAGAATTTGTTCTTATCAACAACAAAAAAAAAGAAAACAATATTGACACTTAGTTTTAACATAGTTAAAGGTAAATTTGTCTGAACCATTCGCTAATGTTGTTGTTGCAATATTTTAATGAAATTACTTTTCGTTTTTTTCTTCTCACTCGTTTTTGTAACTGATATATTTTTAGAAAAAATGTTTGCAGCATAACAAAAAAAACCCCTAGAAATAAAATAAAAGATAATGGATGAATATTCACTTGTTACTTTCCTTGATAATATAAGGCTTCAATCCATGTGCATAGTCTTCAAATAAAAAAAGCCTAACGTATATTTACGTACTTATATTTCGACCTTGCTGTGTCTATTCGGTATAACGTGAGAATAGAAAGACATACGAAAGAGAAAAGACTATTGGCGTGTGATCTATAAATATAATTCTCTGTTTTATGAATTCGAAAAGATACGAAAATAATTTATGATTCATACATAAATCATCGAGTTTCTGCTTCTTCTTCTACGAAATGCATATAGCCTATCCGTTAATTACTTTGATCCAACGCTAATCGTCTTGACATCAATATGCACAACATTGTATTTGAATGAAGGTACATTTATGCATTCTGTAGGAGTATTGAATTACCAGGGAATAAGGAAAAGAAAAAGAAAAAATGTAAAAAACGAAAATTGAATTTCATGTATATGACAAACACGATAGATTCATTGACGAATTGACATGGAAGAAATCACAGAATGAAAGAGAAAAAAAAATATGCGTATATATTAAAAACGTGGTAGTCAATTTAAGGCATATAGGTGTCTTTTAGTAAATTGTGAAGACAAAAAGAGAATAAAATAGAGGAAGAAAGATATACAAAACGTAATAGCGAGGGTATATTATGTGTTGTCAAGCATATACATACACCACAACCGAGCATGAACCATACATAACTATTATATATGGTCGAGAGGGCGACACTGAATACGTACAATTTATTTTTTAAATTATTTAAAACTAATGAAATTTATAGAAAAAGATCAACTTAATGTTGAAAATCAATTTTTAGAAAATGAAATTCCATAGTGATGTCTTATAACTAACAATACATAAAACTATTGACCTAATGCATTTTGACATGCGTCCTACTAATTTCAATACATTTTATAGTAGTTAAACGTTTGGGTCGATTTTGTTTTCGTTATTTGTTTCGATGGCATCGATTATCTCTTTGATTTGAAGGATTAATGTCTACTTTCAATTAAACTATGAAGTAAATTTTTTTATTCAAGACAATTTGATCAATTATTTTGGAAATAAATTCATAAAATGGAAGTGTTTTTTTTTCTATGCAATAAAAATATTTTAGTAAAAGGTCATTGAATCAACTGATTCTCATAGTTGATATATATGAAAATGCATATGGAGAGTGTATTTTTGAAAGAATTAATCATTTCAAAAAATATCCAAAGTCAAGTGCATGATACACATACTATACTCCATTTTTATCTTCCCATGTTGTGAAAATCGCTGCGATTTTGGTGATTTATCGAAAAATGAACGCAAAATCGGAGATAAAATCAGATTTTATCGTGATTTGGGAAAGAAACTCGATTAATCGTAATTGCAGAAAAATCAGAATGATTAATCGTGATCGTAGAAAAATCAGAATGATTAATCGTGATTAATCGATATTTTCTTTTTTTCCTGAGAATATTGATGTAGCAATTGCAACAACTGTTTGGGATTAGAAGACTCCAAAAGATCGCACAACCAATAGAAAATATGTTTTTAAGCAAAATATTTTATGTCTATTTTTTATAATGATATTTTTTTTATCATAAGTGTACTATATGGCTTCAAATAGGGTGCAATAGTTAGAGAACATTTTCAACTTGTAGGTAAAGAAATTAGAATCTATTCATTTTCTTGTTATATATCATTGAGCTCACTCATATCCTTTGGCTTTTTCTAGAGAAAAACCCTAAGAATGAATTCTTCGAAGTAATGAACGCGTTTCAAACGATCCCAAATCATGATTAGAAAGAAAAGAATGCGTTTTATGTCGTTCTCAGAATTGTCGAATGCTTTTTTGTAGATTCAAAACTCAATTTCGAAAAATAAAACTAAATAAATAATTTATTTTTCGCAAAATAGGGAGAAAGATTAAATTAATTAAAGGGAAAGGAAAATAGTTTTTAATGAGAAAATACGTAGAAGAATAGGAAATATAAGACATGCTTGCGGATTATCTTGAATTAATATATAGTTTCATAATCTCAAAATTTTATATTTACTATGTATTTTGTCATAAAAAAAATATTTTCGCTTTGCTTTATTTAACAGTATCATTTTCTTTATTTTTTAAATAAAGGTTATACTTATCTTTATTTTTTAAAGATGGATTTCATTTATTTATCTTTATTTCATAAATATAAATATTTTATTTACATTCATCCTTTATTATAAGTGAATAATAAAGGTAAATTAATATCCATGATCATAAGC